TGGAGGTTGCTGCAGTGTTCACACTAATGTGTAGGGACAAGAGTCAGAGAAATAGAGTCAGAAATGGTTTTTGTTTGTTCATTTTGCTCATTTTGAAGCATCAAGCAGGTGTGACCTGGAGAAAGCAAACTATATATCAAAATGGTTCAATTCCTAAGACATCCATCGTAATAAAAAGAAAATAGTTTTATCCAAGATCCCAAGATAAGCTTTGTAATAGAAAAAAAAAAAAAAATACAGGAGAAACCAAGATGGCGGCATAGGTTAACGCCGGAGATCGCTGCCTCAAACAACCACTTCAGAGATATAACTAAAGGACAGAACGGACATCACCCAAAACCACGGGAAGGCTGGCTGAGTGGAAATTCTACAACTAGGAGGAAAGAGAATATCATACCCAGACTCAGAGGAGGCGCAGTGCTGAAGTGAAATACTCAGGTGCGGAGTGCGCGCGGAGCGGGCTGGCGGCGGAGGGCGCGGTTGTTGTTTTCAATCGGGAGGGAGTTTCAGACTCTGAGCTCCAGATCCGGGCGAGTCTCTGGGGACCGAGACTCAAACGGGAGAAACGGGACTGTCTGGCTTCGGTCGGAACTCGAAGGCAGCTTTCTCTCCGAGGTTTGCAGCCATTGCTGGGGCTCTGAGAGGCAGAGCCCCTGGGGAAGGAACTGAGAGTCGCCATAGCTGCTTGTTCCGCCCGCCCTGTAGATCCCCGGGGACCCGCCCCGCCCAAGCCCTGCACAGAACCATTTGCCGGATAGCCTCAGGCAAACGCTAGATTAGCACCGCCCTAGAGATCCAGCACAGAAGCCCTCCCACTACAGACACAGCAGACTCTCATAGCCAGTTAGCCTGGAGGTCAAATCACCCCGGTATTGCCGACATCAATCAAGGCTTAAAGGCAACAAGACTGCGGACAAAGACCACTAGGGGGTGCACCAAGAAAGCATAAAAAATGCGGAGACAAAGAAACAGGACAAAACTGTCAATGGAGGATATTGAGTTCAGAACCACACTTTTAAGGTCTCTTAAGAACTGTCTAGAAGCTGCCGATAAACTTAGTAAGGCCCTCGAAAAGACTGGTGAGACCGCCGATAAATGTAGTGAGATCCTCAAGAAATCTAATGAGACCCTCGATGTTGTGATAAAGAACCAACTAGAAATTAAGCATACACTGACTGAAATAAAGAATATTATACAGGCACCCAACAGCAGACCAGAGGAGCGCAAGAATCAAGTCAAAGATTCGAAATGCGAAGAAGCAAAAAACACCCAACTGGAAAAGCAAAATGAAAAAAGAATCCGAAAATATGAAGATAGTGTAAGGAGCCTCTGGGACAGCTTCAAGCGCACCAACATCAGAATTATAGGGGTGCCAGAGGATGAGAGAGAGCAAGATATTGAAAACCTATTTAAAGAAATAATGACAGAAAACTTCCCCCACCTGGTGAAAGAAATAGACCTACAGGTCCAGGAAGCGCAGAGAACCCCAAACAAAAGGAATCCAAAAAGGACCACACCAAAACACATCATAATTAAAATGCCAAGAGCAAAAGACAAAGAGAGAATCTTAAAAGCAGCAAGAGAAAGAAACCCAGTTACCTACAAGGGAATACCCATACGACTGTCAGCTGATTTCTCAACAGAAACTTTGCAGGCCAGAAGGGAATGGCAAGAAATATTCAAAGTGATGAATACCAAGAACCTAAAACCAAGATTACTTTATCCAGCAAAGCTATCATTCAGAACGGAAGGTCAGATAAAGAGCTTCACAGATAAGGAAAAGCTAAAGGAGTTCATCACCACCAAACCAGTATTATATGAAATGCTGAAAGGTATCCTTTAAGAAGAGGAAGAAGAAAAAAAAAGGTAAAGATACAAATTATGAACAACAAATATGCAGCTATCAACAAGTGAATCTAAGAATCAAGTGAATAAATAATCTGGTGATCATAATAGAATCAGGGACATAGAAAGGGAATGGACTGACTATTCTTGGGGGGGGGGAAAGGGGTGTGGGAGATGCGGGAAGAGACTGGACAAAAATCGTGCACCTATGGAAGAGGACAGTGGGTGGGGAGTGAGGGCGGAGGGTGGGGCGGGAGCTGGGAGGAGGGGAGTTATGGGGGGAAAAAAAAGAGGAACAAATGTAATAATCTGAACAATAAAGATTTAATTAAAAAAAGTAAAATAAAAAAAATAAAAAAAAAATTAAAAAAAATACAGTAGCATCTTGAAAGGAATGATCATGCTCTTGAAGGCCAGGCAGCTTGCATTTCAAAAAGCAACATATATGGACATTCATTAGTGAAAATAAGAAAATATATATATGTTTAAGAGTAGAAATTTGCAGAATTAGTGTATATGTTATCTGTTTTGGGACATTAGTGGCACTTTAGTAACTACTTAAGAAAACATACTAATTCCTGAAAGAATCAAATATTCCTCTCTAAACAGAGTATACCCAGTTAAAGGTAACTACTTATCATGAGAAAGAAAAAAAAAATAAAGCCATCCATTAATCCAACATACTCTCTGTATGAGAATGTATTTATTATGGCATGGTCAGACTTTAGACATCCTTCTCCTGTCTTTTCCCAGATCTTAACCTCTATTTGTGAAGCAGAAAGGATCATTGAATGGCATGGGGAGCCCCCATATTTGTTCTAATCTTATAGCCAACAATATACATAAGTACTTGGAAGAATGTATACATCAATCCTTTCCATTTGAGTTTTATTTGCATAGTATAAGCCACAGTACTTTGTAAAATTGGGAATGGCTACTGTTCTCTACTTCAGCTCCCATGCTAACATTGAGGCCTTAATCCTAGATCCGCAAAAGAGCCACAGGACTACCCCTTGCAAAGGAAAACCCTAGATCTATTTTTCTAAACTATTCTCAATCAAGGCTCCTTAAAACCTTAAATCCCCTTTGGCTTTCTAATACCAGAAACCTTGCCATTGCGGTTGGGTAATCTGTAGCTCCTTTGTAGATGGATAATGAGAGGTTCAATTTGTGTTCTTGAGCTGCTTAAAAGAGGAAGGAAAGAGAATTCTCAGACTCCAATGAGGGCACTGACTAAGCCCTTTAAATGTACATTGAGAGAGATGAGGTGAATTGTGAATATGGTTAACTCTTGATTAATTAGACTAATAGATTGCACAGGAGTGAGTATAGTAGGAGGAACAGCATTTGCGGTCCTAAGATTCACAATCAACTTTTGGCTCAACCACTTTTTGAGAATTCAGATGGCAAATACATGCACCATGTACAGCTTCAGCTGTCTTATTTATGAAGTGGTGGCATTAATCATAGCTCTCTCCCATGATTATAGTGGAGGTCAAATGGGAAAATTGAAAGTACTATGTAAATACGGGTTATCTTTCCTACTGACATATTAGGAATTGCTATTTGATGTTTGATATAATTATTTTAAAAACAAACAGACCCTTCAGTACTATGCTGCTTTCTTTGCATAAGTTAATTTACCTTTAAACATGAAAAAATGACAAGAAAGGGCAAGAACTGAAGAAACTTGATTGTAAGAACTCAGGACTGTGGTCTCTCTATCAATGAAAGAGGATAGTAATATCTACCAAACAAGGAAGGGTGGAATTATTACTCTTGCAAATACTAATAAAAGACTTGCAATATGTAATTTTCCCTGCTGTTATGCATTTAGCCTTATGGAACAGTGACTGGGGTGGTTATATTTAAGGAGATGCCAAAATTACTATTGCAGTAGGAGTAATAGTAGTGATAGCAGCTGCATTAGCAGCAATAGTAGTAATAGTATTTGAGTTCCCGCTATATGCCAGGTACTGTCGTTTTTATTTTTTTATTTTTAATAGAATTTTATTGATTTCAGAGAGGAAGGGGGGAAAGAGAGATCAATGATGAGAGAGAATCACTGATTGGTTGCCTCCTATACACCTCCTACTGAGGATTGAGCCCACAACCCAGGCAGGTGCCCTGATCAGGAATCGAATGGTGACCTCTTGGTTCAAGGTCAATATTCAACCACTGAGCTACACAGGCTGAGCTGTAGTAAGTTTTTGCTTGCATGAACTCCTTTCATCTTCAAAAATTTATGATGTGAATACTCTTATTCTCATTTTGTAAATTAGAAACCTGAGGATCAGAAACACATTGTGGAAGTTCACACAACTGATTAATATTTAATGGAATTTGAACCCAGGACACTGTGACCATAAACCTTATGCTGTTATCGAATTTATTATTACTGCTTCTTAAATATTTATTTTAGAGAAAGTGAGGCATATAATAATATTATTAATAATAGAAACAATTTATTGGAATAGGAATAAACCGATATTCTGGGTAATTGGAAAACTTTCAGAATGCCATGCATTCTTAGGAGTGGATGGGATTTTCATGGTCATTCAGTGCATCCATCTTTGCTTTCTACTTGATTCTGAGTCATAGCCTTTATTTCTTTTTTATTGGATAAGATTTTTCTTTTCTATTGAATGGACTATTAATTTCTTGCTCTGAGTAATGAGTAGAATGGGTAGAGAAACCGATCCACGTCAAATATTCTGAATTTCTGGCTCTAGTTGTGTCTGATGACTATCTCCATGATTTTCTTTTTTATGACTTGCACTTTGTGAAATTCATTTGAGTTTCGGTTCTGTCACATACAATAGAAAGTAGCACAAGAACAACATATAATCCACCTTTTGGCTTTCAGTCTATGAGTTCCCCAAGTCCTTTCAGTGAACTATCTCATAATTGAAGATATAACTTTTTCTTCTTTACTTTTTTGTCATAAAATATGGATATTTTATTCCTGTTGTGGGAAATGAAAAAAGAGAAGGATAGAGAATATATCCTTCCCAAACCATTCTAATTTAGCTGACATTAATGTCACAAGTTGGGAATTGATAGTGAGAAAAAGCTAAAGGAAATACATGTGTGTATAAGTAAATACATATTTTTTCAGATCTTAGTCTCATAATTGTTCACATATTTAATCTATTTTTTGTTTATAAACACCCTTAAGTCATCAAATGCATCTTAATACTACTACCTCTGCCTCTTCACCAATCATTTAATATTGTTTCGATTGTATTTTCTGTTTGTGTTTTAATCACTTACTTGATTGGTCAAACCATACATTAGAAGATGTATGGGATAAATTTGCTTTAAGTTATGCTCTATGCATCACAATTACCCATTACATTTCTTTCATTATCATTTGGAACTTCACATCTTGTAATTGTTTATGTAGACTATTTCAGCTTCTAGTGCTGTACATATCTACATCTTCTGGATGGGACTGTCCATGATCCATGAGCTTGGGGTCAGGCGTAAACTGTGTAGCACCTGAGGTGAATTCTGATTTTGTCTTCATTTCAGATCTGAGTTCTGTTGGCAAACCCACTGAGTGCTTCTGGTCATGAGCTGTTTTTGCAGGTATTTCTATTTCAGCAGAGTTTTCTAGCTTAATTTTTTCTTTAGGTTCAGGAAGTGACTCTTTTTTGTTGTCTTTTGTCCACAATGATTTAACCGCTTCAGGCATTTTCTGACTTGTAGCATATGCCTTTTTCCCGGTGACCTTTGCAATTATTACGGACTGAACTGGGTAACAAACAGTTGCTCCTAAAGCGGCCAATCCCAATGGATAAGCAATTTTCTTAAATCTAGAACCCTTTCTTGCTGAAACCAAGCCTGCTAATCCTGAAACTGTAATCACTCCAATTTTCGGAAGAAAATCTCGTGGTGGATCCTTCAGATAAACATATGCATCTTTTCCAAATTGAACTGCATCAATTATCCCATTTTTCACAAAGACATACACACCCTTGCACCAGCCAATATAACAACCAGGTGTAGTGCGGATGGAGGCAAAGCCCATTTGTAAATTACCAGGCTGCTCTTCAACATATTTAGATTGAAGAGGTGGTGAAGTATATATAGGGAGCTGCTCTGGTTTCATTAGCTGCTTTTTGGATTCCTCTTCTTTGGCTGCATGCACACTTATAGATGCAAATATCAGCCCTGCAGGCACGTTTGTCAGCTTTCGCATCCGGGTTGCAGACTCAATCCTCAGTAGGGGGTGTGCAGGAGGCAGCAGATCAATGATTCTTGTCATTGATGTTTCTGTCTCTCTCCCTCTCCCTTCCTCTCCTTACGGCCGCCATGTCTGTGACCCTGTCACCACTTTTTCTTCTTTAAAATCCCAATCTGAAATTAATGACATAATGCTTTCTGAATTTGCCTACTTTAATGTTGTTATTTTTTTTAATCCTGAACATTTTATCTTTTACTCATGTTCAGATCGTGGATCATGGCAAATTTTTCTCTGATGATAAAAAGCTTCAGTGACAGAAGAAGATTTGACTTTGGATGGTGTATCTGCAAACAATACAATATACAGATCATGTACCATAGAAATGTACACTTGAAACCTATATAATTTTATTAAGCAGTGCCACCCCAATAAATTTAAATAGAAAAAAGGAAAAAACTGTAATTCAGTGGTTCATCCATGGCAAAAGTAAATGATTCACAGAATTTATTTGAGCAATAAGAAGTTGACAGGAATAACAGCAACAAGTTTAGAAGGTTAGGTAATTTGTAAAAAAATGAAACTATATTTCTCGTAAATAAAAAAGCCTTGTAGTTCAAACAAACAAATACACCAAGACAATATCTCCCTGGGGCCTTGGGTATGTGCATGAGTTTTCATAACTAGCTCTCTGGCCACTGAGGAATGGACCTAGCCCTTGACTCTCTCTCGTGAACTGCTTAGATAAATTCTCCATCACTGCAAATGCCTGAGGTCTTGGCATCTTCTGGCTCTTTTGTTGAACATGACAGGGAAAACACATTCAGGGGCTTGATCAATAGCTTTCTGACAAGGTGATATATACTCATTTATTTGTCCTGCAGACTCTTTCTGCAATCTTTGGCCGAAGTCTGTCAACACTGATGAAACATGTTATATATTCTTATTGTGGATTTAATAGGAATTTTTATAGAAGGATATGAAGCCATATGAAATATTTACTTATATTTGAGGCCTCATTTTAAGCCTCACTTTGTTGGATTGGGATCTGAAAGTTTTCTGAACCCAAGTTTTTCCTTATCTAGCATCAACAGATCTGTTATATTTTCCTGACTAATTATAATAACTTTATTTTATGATTGAATACATCTATGATAATGTTTCACATTCATGATCATTTGTCACTCAAGCAAGAAGGGCTGCTTTCTTTTTCTAGTTTGTTCTTCATCAATTTGAAAACAGAAAATAACCGGAGAGTCTTTCACTTTCAGATGTATCAGGATAAGAACTCAAATGCATAGAGTTCTTTCTCCTACTTTCCACTGAGACATGAGTAGGAAGATTTTAGTCATATATTAAGTATTAGGATTCTTCGTGTGGTAAATGTTCTATTTCTGATTGGCAAATATATTTACATAAAAACCTTAAAAAATAACAGCCTATTGAACTTAATATGTAATATAGCCTTTTATAGAAATTATGAAATAACCTCAAATTGTGAAAAGTCACAGGTATTATTTATTTATGTTGAATACATTTCCTGCCAGAGTTTGTATTTGTGTCTATTTTCTGTAAACATTAATGAAATGGGATAGGAAATACCTGAGGAAAATGAAAGATGGGTATAGGACAATCACATTAAATTCCAAAATAAATGATCCATATACCAATTGTACTGAGTTGAGATACACTGCCCTCTTCAAGTTTCATAATCTGAGGACATGGCTTTATTAGGTCTCTAAGATCTCTGAAAATTTAATACGTACATACATTTTCTTCTAAAGAGTTTATAGATTCATCCTATTCTCAAAAGTGTCCATGACCATAAATCTTAAGTATCACTAATATTATAATAGTTTCTTCATCTGAAAAATGGAAGAAATTTTTATTTCATTTTCTCTAATGCTAATTCCAACTTTGGATTTGTGATCTTTCTTCCTGTGTGATAGTATGTCATATTTGCTGTTCTTTTAAAAAAATGATACATAGATGGGAAGTGATCCTCACAAATCATGCAGCTAGAGTGAAAAAAATTGCCCATACACACCACCCCTCAGTTTGGAGGAACTGGGTGTTAAGGTATGTGAAGGTCATTTCTTTCTAAGGAGCTCTGTCATCTTAAGCTATGAGGATAATGGGGTAGAGTTTGGAACACATACACATGAAATTAAGATCTATAAGAGTTTAGTTAAAACTCTGAATTGACTAATCCAGGGGGCAGAGGTGGCTTTTGCTTTTCAATAAGGTAAAGGACCTGGAGGAATAATAACAGATCAGGAAGTGAAGTCAGGGAACTTGGAGTCATAGACAGGAAAAGGGGTAATGGAACAAAATATAGCCCAGTTCTCTGGGAGAAGCAGTGTGGTCAATGTACCAGCCCTCTCGTGTGTAGGCCACATTGAGCTGCGTGGGGAGCCTGCTATAGTTAGTGAATGTATCAATTGAGTCAAGGTCTCTTCTGTCATTTCTTTTCTGTAATTTTTACATAAACAGGTCACTCTGACACAGAAGATTCAGAAACCATTTAACAAATCAGACGGCTAAAATGAATTGGATGAAGTAGAAATAATTATTTGAAGAGAATAAAGGTGGGCAATTAGGGGCTTTGGCAATGAGATCAATGCACCTGCCACACCAAATGGAGAGAGAGAAAAAGTACAACCAAACAGTTCAATACTACAGAGCGTTTAACAAGGTTGCTACGGGTTTATATATTCAATATAGAAAGCTCTCCAAGACAATATTTATAATGATACTGGAGGCCTGATGCACGAAATTTGTGCAAGGGGCTCAAGCCCTTGCAGCCGTGGTGGCTGGCCTCAGCCCTTGCAGCACCAGTTTCGTCTGGAAGGGCATCCGGAAGGATGTCCAGAAGGTCCTTTGACTGTCCGGCCTAATTATCATATTATACTTTTATTATTATAGACCTCATGTGTGTGTATGTATACTTATAAATATGACTTCCCAATTACATGGTTTTATTGTGGTCATGCTCCTTCTACATGAAATATAAAAAGACAGATGAAACTAATTAAATTACTTACCTCCCTCAAAAGATTTCCCCTCAATTGTTTTAACAAAACAGGTTTTTCTTCCTGCTTTGCTCCTCTGATTCCCTCTGAATTCTGTCCTAAATATTTTAAGACTAATTATTAATAATAAGAATACACATTGAGAAAGTATTTTTTTAGGAAGGCACAATACTAAGTAGTTTACAGGCATTGACTCATCTTATTTTCACTGCAATGAAAAAGTAATGTTATCACTATTTTGTGGTAAGGATCACAGAAGTTAAGGAACTTTTTAAAGGCCATAAACTTGTAAGGGGCAAAATCAAGGCTTTAAATCCTATCAGGATGACCATACTGCCCACTTTCACTCTCCAAAGTGTCCTGGTTTGGGTGGTAAAATATTTAGTCATCCTAATGTGAAGAGAAGACATACATCAAAGAGCTGAAATGAAGAATAAATAAGGTAGCATTGTTTAGAGATTATCAGCACAAACTCTGAACTCAGACTGCCAAGGTATGGAAAAGGTCATTCAACCTCTTAGACATGAGACATTACTATTACTACCAAGTTGAGCTGCCTCTTTCAGGGTCTGTGGGAAGGTTAAGAAGGGATATACTGATGACCAGGACAATACATCTTTTTGGGATGGTCTGTCCAAGCATCCCTCATATATCTGTAGGTCTGGTAGATCTGGAGCCAAGTTTGGGGGTATTTTGAATGACAAATAACATGTAAAATGAGCTTAACACTTCTAGTTAAAGGTATAAAAAGAACCATGCCAAAAAGGGAAACAGTTGAAAATACTGTTTTTTTGCAGTTATTTTAACTCTATGACCAGTAGAATTAATATTTAATTCCTTTTTTCTAATAAATTGGGTGGATTGGCTTGATTCATGCATGCATTCTGGCACAGTCCTTCCTCTCTGTGACTCTGGAGCCTGATGGAGTTGGATACCATCTGAGCACAAGAGCAAAGCTTAAGTGGGCACGCAGGGATCCCATTCAGAATTCTGGCTTTGTAAGTATCGTTATGTTTCCCAGCAGAGGAACTAATGGGACTTATGGGCTAATAAATGTCACAAGTAAGAGAGCTTCCAGGCAAAAGTCTCAAGGTTTGTTATAGAATTTCCTAAAAATGTCCTCAACTAGATCCATTTGACTCTCTCTATGCTCACAGCCAGCCCTGGGCAGAGGCACTTACCAAGCTGTTTGGATAAAGGAGTTCCTTGTGATTGGGGGTGATTGAGTGAATATCTATGTATTAGTTTTATCTCAAGCTAGGTCTTCTTTTGGTCTGGTGAACTGGCTAGTTGATTTATAGTAAATAACCGGGGAGAGACCACACTCACCTTTATCCTTTCATAATCTCCAAACTTCCCAGCATGCACCAATCAGCCACTTAGATGGTTGCTGTCCCAATTCCCAAGCTGCTCAGGGACCCCCTTTTGCATTTTTGCCTTCTTTTTCAGGCAGGTGGGGGCAGAGGGAGCTTGACTGTCACTTGTTCTTGTGCTGTCTGTTTTATGACGGCTTGCAGGAGGTGAGTGGTCTTTTTTTCTTAATAAGTGAGCTAGTAACAGGGGTCCAAATAAGGAAAAGGGTAATTGTTAAGCAGAAGCAAGTCACAAAGATAAAGGCCATCTCAGTTTCAGTAAAGGAATGACTGACTTCTTAGTTCAGGCCAGGTGGTTAGGAAAAAACAGATTTTGTAACTTAGCTCCCTCCCCTACACCTCAATTCTGGCTCAAATGCTCTCTTTCATTTAGCTGTGTTTATTTTAGACTACTTATCTAATCTCCTTGAACCTCCATTTCCTTCTCTTAGAACCGGGGGTTATAAAAACAATCCAGAAGTATTGTTAAGGGGGTTTTCTATTCCCATTATTGAATAAGGACTAAGCTGTGGCTACAGCTAATAAGAGTGAGTGATGAGAAGCCCAGAACTGGGGTATTTGGTTTTATGTTCAGCATCAATAACTTACTTAGCCTCTTTCCTGAAGCTTTGGTTTATCTTAAAATAGCCCCTATACTTCTAATGACCTACTAATCACTGTGATAATTTTCTCTTTTAGAATGAATTCATGGACT